AGAGCCTTATACTCCGTTCGCCTTGGTGCAACCTCCATCGACCGTTTCAATCTCGACTGAAACGAGGTTTAATCAGGATCGACTCAAGAGAGTTCTTGAAACTAGGTCCAGTCATATGAGAGATCTCACAATCCCACGCGCGCGAGAAAATACAAGATGGCTGCGGAACACGTGTCCGGCTATCGACAGCGAAATAAAAAAGATATTGTATTTCGAGAAACAATGACATCTGTCTCTTATTATAATAATACCTAATGATAAAATAAACGATTTAAAAAGTTTTTTCTTGAGAAAAAGTCATAGGGAAAGCAATTAACTCCTTGGGACTCTAGCAATTTTTGATATTAATGTAATTAAACATAAAAAATACTTAAAACTGAAAAAACGAAAGAAATGCGTTAATTTTGAAGAAAAAGCTTCAGATTTTATTTTCCTTTGTCTCGTCTTTCTGTGAAATCTTACGCTGATGAGTCATTGTTTAAACAGCTGGATGACCTTGAACACAGCTGGAGTCCGATTTTCCGGGACATTCTCATAGAAGTCTCGGGAGGCAATAGGTTTATAGTAGGCGTGCGCTACAACTTTAGAATGAATGAAATTTGATATCAAACTCCAATTAAAAAGCAATTAAGTGTGAATCGTGCGTCATTAAAGGTAAATTAAAATCGCGATAAAATTTTTTCGCGCGGGAAAAAATTTTGAGACTTAAAAAACATTCCAAAAAGCCAAAAAAAAACAAAACTTTTAGGGGGACCAAACGCCTGAGTTTTATGTAACGCTATGTAACTTGCTCGAGTTATCTCGGGCTTGGGGTTAGGTTAAGGAAAAAGTTTCTGTTAGCGAACCCTTTGTTAAATATTTCGAATATCACCACTGATCACATCGATAGTAGAATTGCTGAATTTGAGCCCAGTTGGAGGATTCTCAAAGCAAGTCAACATTCGGCACTTTGAAGAGATATACTGCCTGATCATTTGAAGGAGTTGATCCTTTTTTTGTTTGCTTGCACAGTTTGTCAAAGGTTACTGGAAGTTGGGATGACATGGCTGTAAGGTCCATATTGGCTTAGATGGTTGCCACCACTGTTTCTTCATCCTTTAATGATTCAGTGGAGATGAAGCGTGACAAGGCATCTGTTAGTCTGAATTTGGTAGTTTTTTGATATTTGATCTTGAAGTTGTATCTAAGAAGAATCGTTGCCCAACACTGCAAATGGTTGGTAGTGTGTATCAGAATACGTTTCTTGTTGCTGAAGATGGCAAGGAGAGGTTTGTGGTCTGTGAGAAGAGTGAAGGGTTGTCCGTAAATCATCTTGTGGAACTTGGAATAGCAAGGATGAGTGCAAGACCCTCTTTTTCAATTTGACTATAGTTTGGCTTGGCTTTAGTGAGTGCTTGAGAAGAGTGAGCAATGGTCTTGATTGATTTGTCAGGTAGGCAGTGTTGGATGACTGTACCAAGCCCAGGCTTGACTCATCGGATGCAACAATGATGTGGGGCATCGGATCATAGGGAGTGAGAAGTAAATCTGACTTGAGAATGTCCTTGATGTGCTGGAAGGCTTGTTGGCATTTGTTCAACCACTGTCATTTTCAGTCTTTCTGGAGTATTTTATCTAGTGGATGGCAAATTTGACGCATGTTATGGGTGAAGGTTTGGTAGTATTGGGTTGTTCGGAAAGTAATTTTGTTTATTACCACCAGAGAAATAAGTTGTATTTTTATAGCAAGTACTTTTGACATTTTATAGCATGTCGAAAGTGCTTGCAAATACAGTTGTCCCTTGATAATCTGACAGGTATGGGACCAAAGGTGTGTCAGATTACCAAAAGTGTCCGGATTACCGAAAATAATTACATATTTCGCATTGTTTTGCTAGCAATAACTTACAATATTCTCTACTCCAACTGTTCGAACAGAACTGCTCACATAAAACACACGAAATGTGTGTCATTGTGTAAAAATAGGATGGGGAGATTCACATTGCAACATGCTTCTGTGCAAGCAGACACATAACGGGGACGGGTACCTTGATGGGAGGTGCGTCGGACTACTGAGCATGTCGGATTAAAAAACATCGGACTATAGAGGGACAACTGTATAACAATATTTATACATAATTAACGCCTGTGTGATAGTTTGTTCTTCTCTTGTTTAGTTGTATTTTTACATGCCAACTTTATTTTAAACTATATTGTCATTATATATTTTGACAGCTGACATTTCAAGGCTTATTTGTAAAAATTTTGTTTCATTCTGTCTAGTTGTTTTTTTTTTTTTGTTTTTGGTGTCCCATCAAATATGGAAAATCAAAAGCAGCATTTTTGGCATATTTTACTTTTTTATTACCAAAAAGATAAAAATGCTGTTCAAGCAAGAAAAAATTGTGTGATGTGTATGGAGATGATGTGTTGACAGAATGACAGTGCCAAAACTGGTTTGCAAAATTTCATTCTGACAATTTTGATATTGAAGATGCACTATGTTCTGGAAGGCCAGTTGAAGCTGATGAAGACAAAATAAAGGTATTGATTGAAGCAAACTGTCAAATAGTAACATGAGAAATTGCTAAGAGATTAAATTTGTTGAATTCAACCATTTATGATCACTTGGTATCGTTTCAAACTTGATATATAGGTTCCACATGTTCTTAATTAAAAAAAAGATTTACTCTGTCACATTGACATCTGTGATTTGCTTCTCAAACATCAAGAAAATGATCTATTTTTGAAGCAAATCATAACTGGCAATGAAAAATGGATTGTTTATAACAATGTAAAATGGAAGAGATCATGGAGTAGGAAAGATGAGCCGGCTCAAAGCACTTTGAAAGCCGATATTCATAAAAAAAAAAAAAGTGATGCTCTCTGTTTGGGATTTTACGGAAACTTTTTTTTTAGCTTCTACCAGACAATTCCACAATTGATTTGAAAGTGTACTGCCATCAACTGGACAAATTGTATGTTGTTATCAAACAGAAAAGGCCAGAATTGATCAACAGTAAAGATACAGTGTTTCACTGTGATAATGCTAGACCTCACACAAGTTTGGTATCTGGTCAGAAGCTGTTACAGCTTTGATGGGATGTGCTACATCACCCACTATATTCGCCAGATCTGGCACCCTTGTATTATTACTTGTTCCGGTCTTTACAAAAATTTTTAAATGATAAAAAATTTAATTCATATGCCTTTGTGTCCTTATTATGTACTGTACAATTTATTATATAAATGTCTACTAGGACTTATTGTACTGGTGTTCAGTTTCTGCAAATTGAGGAAAACTTATTCAGCTTATTCGAAAAAAATAATTTTTATTGTTCACCTGGTATTTCACCTGTACATACTATGCTTGTGTTTTGGACCTTAAGGTCCCTTCTCAGTGGGTTTACATCAATGAGGTGCTAAAACAAGATTTATAAAATTACAACAATATTCTAAAAAATTTTTCCAACAATAATATCTACAATTAAAATGACTTAGTTTTTTTGTGGTTAATTACATTGAGATTTATATAAATCAATAGAAAAATTCTCATCATATTTAAACAATTAAACTTGTATAGAATAAACATGAATTAGAAAATTTACAATATTTCACATAGGTAATTAAAACATTTCTCTAAACTTACATATCCTTCACTTGCCATTGCTTGTGCAATTACCTTAGTGCTAAGATCATTCTTTTTATAAATCCCTTAAGAGATTTATAAAGGGAATGATTTTAGGCAGTGACACTGAAAACTAAAAGTAGGATGGTTGTTTTAAAAAAAAATAAAAATAGAGTAATCACTGTTTTGTTTTTTGCTTTTGGATTAATGAAACATATTTGTAGAGGCTTATTTGATCAAACTCTGCATTTAAAAGAAATCCCACTACTTCTGATCTCTGTCAGAGGCTTCACTTTGCATAAAATACAGTGATATTTTTTGGCAAATATGAGTACAGTAGAGCATTGATTATCCGACCCTTGATCAACCGTCACATCAGTTAACCGACCACGTTCTAGTCGGCAAATTCAAATGTCCGCTAGTGATGTGGTGCTACAATATTTGGCTATGTCTTGGCTACTTTAATAGTATTTTTACTTGTTTTAGCTGGCAACATTGGCTCGACCATGAAAGGGATCCAGCATTTAAACGAGGCTTAATTTTCTAATTTTTAATGATACAAAAGTGACGATTATTATTTTAAAAAAATGTTTGTTAGGCTTAATGTCGATGAAAATTCAACGCGAAGTAGGTTAATAGTGATATACTGTATTACAATCAATTTACAAATGTTTGAAGCAAAGATTATCAAAATACTATCTAAAACTGTAAAATCTTCATTTGAGAAGTTTAAAGACCCATGAAATGATGTACGGTCTGCTTAAAAGAAGTTTTAGAGAATAAGAAGGGTAGAAATTTTTGCCCATTGTCTGCAAAATATAATGCCCACTTAAAGTAAAAATACCTTAATAGTCCTATGTTTGGAATTGGACATTCTGTATACTAAGTACAGGTGTCTACTAAACCTGGATTTCATTGTAATTTTATAGAAGTATTACCATAATTATATTTATATTAATTAAATAATGTGTGTCTTTTAATAACAATAGATGCTAGTGAAATTCAAATGGTTTCAATTTATTTATGACGCTTCCTGGTATCAACAAATTAAAGTTTTCTTGTTTTAAGAAAGTGTTTTTATACAAGCAGAATTTGTTCATTTTAATCTTCATTATTCATTTTTTCATTTATCAGTTAATTTTTTCCAAACATTTTTGGACTTTGTATTATTTATTAAATATCTTATATTCATAAATGGTTTTATTTCTAATTTTATTAGTTTGTTTTTTTTTTATTTTTTTGCTAATTTAAGAATTTTTAATCAGCAATATTGGGAAGTATTTATGAAATTTAAATTAATAACAATCTCTAAATATAATTACATGATCAGAATAAAGATGCTAATTTTAGATTTATATTATATCAAAATGCTTTTCATTTTATATTATTTTAGGTGAAAGGGAAGAAATAGAAATAACTGCAGACCGACTAAGGTCACGTACCCTTACGGTGGAAGTTACGGTCACTACGCCAAGAAACGAAATTCAGAAAAAAGCATTAGAGCAAGTTAATCAGTACATCGACGATTTGCTTGTCAAATTTCGTGTCGATGTGGATAGTGCCAAACGGACATGTCAGGAATATCTAAACGCTTGTTTATCGGAATCACGTGGAAATATAGATCAGAGGTTTCAGGCGGCGATTATCGAATGCACGGCAGACGATCAGAAGAAAACACGGAAGCGATTAGAATCACTACTGATGACTGTGTTTCACGCCGAAGAAAGGATGAGGCGCTAACATCAAACACGCCTTAATGTTGAAATAATTTTATAGTTTATAACTTCTTGAGTATATATATTATTATTCGTGAAAAAATTGTTCAGAAAATCAGTATCATTTATTAGAGAAAAATCCAAAACTATTTAATGAAAATATTCAAAATTTTCCAATTCAAGAATCAAAACATTAAATATTTTAAAAATCAAGTTGAAATGAAATCTAATATCTCTGCTGTACATAATTTTAATAGTTGCTTCGTGATTAATTTATATACAAACAAAAAGCAAAAAGAAAATATATGCAGTGTGTGCTATCTCTTCTGACACCGTTTATAATTTAGAAGTTTAAATGAAAATAAATTATTATCGATCATATTGGTATTTTTCTACAGCACAAAGGTACTTCACATTTGAGATAGGTACACACAATCATTTTCTAGTCTGTTTCAAGAGAGCGAATTCTTGAAAAGTGGCTTAGACGAGTAAAATATTGTGATAAGTCGACAAATAGCAGAACAACTCAATACTTTTTAAAAATTGTTGTTCAATAAATTATTTTAATTTTGTATTTATTTACATTATATGCTACGATGCAGGGATTGCTAACACACGAAAAACAAAGGAACATGTCTGACTCACCCAGTTTCTCGATCGGCAAAATTACAATGACAGAAGTGAAAATTAAAAAACGCTAGTTACATTTGTGTTTACAGAGCTTTTTTTCCTTTTAACTAATATCAGCAAGAAAAAAATATTTTAATATTTGTATATATTACGCATGAGTGAATAATAAATTCAAATCTTTCCAGAAATCAAATATATTAATTGTTTTATAACTTCTGCAAATGTGTTTCTTTTTCCTTCACAACAAAATAATTTTGAATTTGTTTAAAGTTCTGAAGGTTGAAAATGATGATATTAGAAATAATACACAGTATTTAACATTATATTGTTTGTATAAAAAATAAAATTTAATTTTATAATAAATTTAAATTTAAAAACTGTGTGTTTTTTTTAAGCTTCCTGGGAAAAAGTAAACATAAACAAGTTGCATTGATTAGAAACAGTTTGTAAACATTTGGTAATGTTATCTGCATTAACTCCAATAAAATAGTAAGTATTTTTATATTAAATAGAACAAAAACATTAAAATTAATGCTTTTATTTTTGCTAAACTAAATGTATGTATTTTGTGTGTGTGTGTGTAAAACTTATTAAGTTTTAGTTTTGAATGTTTGCGATTCAAAATCAGAAAAAATGAAAGGGCTTGTATTTAATTTATTACTAGTTAGTTTATTTTTGTTTAAAACAATACAAAACAGAATATTGTGTAATATTTCTGATGAAAATTTTTATTTAATATAAACCGGATTGTTTAAATGTTTGGTCATATTTCGGTGTTAAATGATCCTATGACAGTTAGTATTACATTCTTTAACTAAGTATCCTTACAGAAGCAAGTCTTTTCTAAATTAGAAAAAAAAGCTTCATATATAGTTTAGTATTTAATGATTTCATTATGTGAAATAATGTTTGCTATGAATCTTTTTTTTTTAATAAGTGAAGTGAACAAGAAATAAATGTATATAAAAATGTGAAATTATATTAAGCAAGCATATTAAATTTATATATTAATGTATTTATTTATTTACTTTTTATGAATTCTGTTTTGAGAAGTGTTAAGAATTTGTACTTTTAGAAAAGAGAGAATTTGTTTTTAAAAAAAAGGAAATTTTTGTGAATTACAAATGCTAATTAAAATAAGCATTAAATCTAATCTTTAAGAATAAGCTAAAAATTTTAAAAACTTGAATAATTAATGAATATATTATGAACTTTTTTAAATGAAATAACTTTTTTTTTTTTTTACCAATTGGAATACTCCTTAGCATGTGACGATTGTAAGCAATAAATATATTTTAGTTAACTGGATGGTGATGACACCATATATCCTACACAAATGTCTAGAAACAGAGCTTTGTAACAGTACATCACATTACAGAAGGCTACTACATTAAACACTATACATAATTCAGAAATTCTCATGGATACACGCAAAACTATTAATGGTAATTTAATTAATGATTGGTAATTAATGATTAAATATTAATTACTGGTGCCTAGCAGGATCAAGACTATGGCTTGTTCCGTAGTTATGCCTTGATCCTGCTAGGCACCAGTATATTACTGTATACCATATAGACTGCGACAAATCGACTACCGTCGGAGGCCCTAGGCCAGGTTTAGCCAGGCTCTCCGATCCCACTCTGTCGATTAGAATAAAATAACATTAAGTTATGTTAAATAACTCTTATCACTGTACTATGTGATAAGTGAAGCGCGTGGGGGACTATAGTCTCCCTGTTTCAAAATTCAATTTTTCAAAACTCATAGTTTTTTTCGCGATTTTTTCATATTGGATGTTTGTGGGCATGTGTTTTTGATGTATTAATCAAGAAAACTACTTTAAATATATCGTTTTTATTTATTACTAATGAAAAACAGAGTCCCGTTTTTAGGAATTTTTAAAAAAAAAATTGTCAACTTCAAAAGTGTATTTTACAAACTGTAAAGAAGTCTGATGCACCTAAGCTCTCAATCGTCTTCCTGTATGTGTTTTTTAACTGCCACAACAATTAAATTCTTTGTACCAAACCCCGGGCCAAAAATATCTCAGTATTTCCAAAAATACACATCTAAAATCATATAGCAACTAGAGGTAAAAATGGAGATTATTGGCAGATAACATCGATAGTAAACTTCTTATACACTGTAATTGGTTAATTTATATGTCTGTTATTAGATCCACCTATAAAAACAATTGCTGGAAAAATTCCTGCAAAATGCCACGCCCCGCAGGCTACCACATCGAAGTATGTAAACAATCGCTATAAAATCGCGTGTTTTATTCGTTTTTTTCACTTCTAATTTGCTAATGATAAGTCGCTTGACAGTTTTTAGACCAGTGTTTCTCAACCTCTAACGAATCGTCGCCCCCTTCAATAAAACCGTTACGTAGTATCGCCCCCTTCACTACAAAATTCCGATGCCGAGGGACAAGGCTAACTTTAAATTCGTACTGCATTGAATAGACTAGGGACTAGTATAATGTTATTTGTTTAATTATTGTACGATATAACGAATAAAATATCTAATTATTCTTAATATAATGTTTTACTATATAACCTAGAAAATTGTTTTTCGCCCCCCAAAATATAAATTGTTGCTAATCGCCCCCTGAACATGGAAAAACGCCCACATGGGGGCGATATCGCCCGTTGAGAAACACTGTTTTAGACGAATAAACATGTTTTGAATACCATTTAGCAATAAATATTCCCAAAAAACTCCACCTTTCAAACTTTCAATGCTAAGTCTATGGGAAACTTTTTTGCCGTTTATTGGCTTTAAAAATCCTGTTTTTACGCCTTTTATGCTCTAATTGGTCATTTCTATCATGACTGACTCGATATCAACCAATAAGCGTTTTCTCAGAACTGTAAGTCAGATCGGCCCACCTCGGTTAGTTGCGCTAATAAAACTTACTCCGTTAGTCGCGTGGGGAACTAATGTACCCACTGATTTTTATTGTGGCTCTATGTAAAAATTTTTTTTGTGCAAATTTGAAATTTTTTTGGTGCAATCTTCACACCATCGAAGGAAGGTACTGAGGGCATAATTTTTCAACGTTAAAAACATTAAAAAATACATGCGTTTTAACATGCCAGGGAGACTATAGTCCCCGCGCGCCTAACCGTGAGGTTAATTAATACTATATAATATCAAAAAAATTATGCGAATCTGTTACAGCTTTTTTTAATTTCAACTGTGTAAATAGTCATCTTGGTTTTCCAAAGATCAAACTAATACGAAATAAAATTTCAGAACTCATGCAATGACAAAATTTATTCATTCATTCATTCATGGGTGTTCTGTCCTAGGACAGGTCCGTGGAAAGCAGTCAAATTATAGAATTCTCCTTCTCCAACATTCTCTATTTCGGGCTTCCTCTTTTATTTCTTTATAAGTTTTGCCTAGTAAAACATCATCTATCAATACTTTTCTTTTTCTTCCTCTTTGTTTCCTTGCATCAATTTTTCCTTCTAATGCCACTCGCATTAATCCTTCTCCTCGCAATATATGACCTAGCCAGTTATTTTTTCTTCTTTGTATTGTTTTTAAAAGAGATCTCTGTTCCTGGACCAAATTTAAAACATCTTCATTCTTAACCTTTTCTGTCCACTTGATTTTCTCCATTCTTCGCCATAACCACATTTCATATGCTTCAAGGTAGTTTGTTTCCTTTTTCCTTAAGGTCCAAGTCTCTGCTCCATATAAAGTTATGCTCCAGGAAAAGCATTTTATTAACTTCTTTTTAAGTGTTTGGTTCATTTTTCCAATAAGAAGGTTCTTCTTCTTATAAAAAGCCATTTTTCCAGCCCTGATTCGTTCTTTGATTTCTTTTTCACATCTGCCATCTCCCTGAATAATGCTGCCAAGATACCTAAAATGTTGAACTTGCTCTATTTTGTTTCCATCAATTAGGATTTTCAAATCTTTGCTAATTAGCCTTCCAACTTTCATCACTTTTGTTTTAGCTGTGTTAATTTTCATTCCAAATTTTTTGCAAGTTTTGTTGAGTTTTGTTACCAAACATTGTAGAGTTTGTTCATTTGGTGCAAGTAAAGCAATATCATCTGCAAACCTAATACTTTGTATTAATTGGCCTCCAATTTTAATTCCGAGACTGTCCTCACTTATGGCTTCATTCATTAATTCCTCAAGATAAATGTTAAAAAGAGTAGGTGAAAGTGTACACCCTTGCCTGACTCCTTTTCCAATACTGCATGGTTTGCTTTCTCCAGTTTTTGTTCGGATAATGGCAGATTGATTCATATAAAGTGAAGCAATGAGTCTTCTATCTCTCCAATCTGTTCCTATTTTTCTTAAGATTTCCATTAGCTTTGTCCAGTTAACCATATCAAAAGCCTTTTCCATGTCAATAAAGCAAATGTACGTATCCTTATTAACCTCAATGTTTCTTTCACAGATTGTTCTCAAGAGGCCAATAGCATCCCTTGTTCCTTTTCTGAATCCAAATTGTTCTTCACATAGAAATGTTTCAGCCTTGTTGTAGAGTCTTCTGTTAATGATTTTAAGAAGGATTTTTGAGGCATGTGAAATTAAACTAATTGTTCTAAAATCACTACACTTTTTAGCTTTTGCTTTCTTTGGTATAGGTATCAAAATACTTTGAGCAAAGTCTTCAGGCCATTCTCCTGTTTTATATATGAGATTGCATAAGTCTGTTATTTTCTCGATTCCTTCCTTGCCTAACCCTTTTAGAAATTCAGCTGGTATTCCATCTACTCCTTCTGACTTTTTGTTTTTCAATTCTTTAATTGCCAATCCAACTTCATCTTTCATGATAATAGGTCCTCTTTCATCATTAGCTATTTGAGAAGATTTTTCCAATTTTAACTCTTTAGGTTTGGTGTTCTCTCCATAGAGATCTCCAATATATTCTTTCCAATGGCCCATTATATCAGTTGGGGTTAAAAGTGCTTTTCCATCTTTGTCTTCAATACTCAGAATTTGGTGGGTGCGATCATTTGTTAGTTCTTTGACTTTTTTGTATGATAGATCATATCTGCCTTTTTTGTTCAGTTCTTCGATTTCCTCACATTCCTTACTTAACCAAGCTTCTCTAGCTTTTCCAGTTTCACGCCTCAATTCATTATTTAGCTTCTTGTACATCATTCTCCCTTTTTCATTATTTATATTTTTCCAATTTCTTCTTTCATCCATTTTCTCAATCATTTCTTGAGTAACCCAAGGTTTTTTTATTCTAACACCATTTACATATCCAAGAAAATTTTCAGCCGATTCCTTTATTGTATCTTTAATTCTTTTCCAATTTTCGTTTGGGTCAAACTCACAGTCAAAGTCATATGGAAGTTCTTTTAATTTATATTCCAGGTTTTCTTTAAAATTTAATCCAGTATTTCCATTTAGCTTTTCCAAATTCCATCTTTTTATTCTTTTGGCTCTCAAAACTTTTTTCAATTTCATCACAATATCTGCAGTTAATAAGTTGTGATCAGAATCTGCATCTGCTCCTGGATATGTCTGAATTTTCTTGACTGCATTCCTAAAACGACTTTGAATAAGAATGTAATCTATTTGATACCTTCCAATGTCTCCGGGCATTTTCCAAGTGTATAGTCGATGTTTGGATTGTTTGAACCATGTGTTTCCAACTATTAATTGATGCTTGGTAGCAAATTCAACTAGTCGTTCGCCTCTTTCATTCCTATTTCCTAGCCCAAACTTGCCCAAAATTTTTCCATCTCCTCCTCCTCCTACAGGTGCATTCCAGTCTCCCATAACAATTAGGCATTTTTTAGTTTTATCATTTTCTATTACATCTTCAATTTGGTCATAAATTTCTTCTACTTCTTCGTCATAGTCTCCAGTAGGCATGTATACTTGAAATATCATCATATCCATGGGATCACTTTTTATTTTAATCATTAAAATTCTTTCACCTCTGCATTCAATTCTTTCAACTGAGTTTTTTACCTTCTCACCTAATAAACGCTACACCATTCTTTCCTTTAGTTCCACAAGAATAAATAACCCTGAATTCAGGGTTATTTATTCTTGTGGAACTAAAAAAAATCACCGCTGTCTTCCCATCTGACTTCACTAAGCCCAAGAATATCCAAATTCTGCCTCTTCATTTCTCTCTTGACAGTTTCCAACTTACCTGGTCGAAGCATGGTTCTTACATTCCATGTTCCTATTCGAATTCTTCCTATGGAGGTCTTCCTATGGGAGTTTCGCGTGGTGACGACCTCGGAAGCCCCATAACTTCCCCTGCCGGGCATGACACCTTTCTCTTGGAGATGAGTCCCATATTTGCCAGTACAATAAATAGGTTTTCTGCTTTCCAGTAACAAGGGAGGTATAGCTGAGGTGGTTTCCCGTTGCCTTCCTCAAGGTTTCTGATCAGAGTTTTCCTTCTCCTATGCAGGTTACCTACCAAGGCTTAAGAGTCCTGCCTACCCCGGCAATAGGCATATGGCGGCCTAAATCGCCTTGACACAGCACATCAAGATTACAAAAATAATCTTCTTAACAAATTATCTCTATTAGCAAAATTTTACGAAATTATACGCGGTTCGAATATTACAACTATTTTAGTTTAATGGTAAATTATTCAAAAACAATTAAGAAATATAAAATAAAAGGTGAAGAATAAGACAAATCTAAATGTTTCTTAGTGTGAGGTCGTCAATCGGAACGTAAGAGAGGTGCAGATTCCTTTGTGGGCATGACACAATCATTTGCAAACAAGTGAAAACGTCATCTCGAAAAACAGAATGGCCGCTTCCGATATTCCGTCGTTAAGCATATTTGTTTATTTATTGAGGAAGAAAGATAAGACGAAAAGAAAACGATGATGGATGAGAAGAATATTAAAATTACGTAATTAGAACATTTAAGCCTGGACTCCACATTACCGGAATCTGCGACGTAATCGTAAAACTGAAAGCCAAACTGACGAAACTTTCAGTTGGACAGAAACAAGACTGAAAGCACAGTTAAAAATTACAGTAGAACGTCGATTATCTGAATCAATTGGGACTGGTTGTTCGGAAAACGANATTACATGATCAGAATAAAGATGCTAATTTTAGATTTATATTATATCAAAATGCTTTTCATTTTATATTATTTTAGGTGAAAGGGAAGAAATAGAAATAACTGCAGACCGACTAAGGTCACGTACCCTTACGGTGGAAGTTACGGTCACTACGCCAAGAAACGAAATTCAGAAAAAAGCATTAGAGCAAGTTAATCAGTACATCGACGATTTGCTCGTCAAATTTCGTGTCGATGTGGATAGTGCCAAACGGACATGTCAGGAATATCTAAACGCTTGTTTATCGGAATCACGTGGAAATATAGATCAGAGGTTTCAGGCGGCGATTATCGAATGCACGGCAGACGATCAGAAGAAAACACGGAAGCGATTAGAATCACTACTGATGACTGTGTTTCACGCCGAAGAAAGGATGAGGCGCTAACATCAAACACGCCTTAATGTTGAAATAATTTTATAGTTTATAACTTCTTGAGTATATATATTATTATTCGTGAAAAAATTGTTCAGAAAATCAGTATCATTTATTAGAGAAAAATCCAAAACTATTTAATGAAAATATTCAAAATTTTCCAATTCAAGAATCAAAACATTAAATATTTTAAAAATCAAGTTGAAATGAAATCTAATATCTCTGCTGTACATAATTTTAATAGTTGCTTCGTGATTAATTTATATACAAACAAAAAGCAAAAAGAAAATATATGCAGTGTGTGCTATCTCTTCTGACACCGTTTATAATTTAGAAGTTTAAATGAAAATAAATTATTATCGATCATATTGGTATTTTTCTACAGCACAAAGGTACTTCACATTTGAGATAGGTACACACAATCATTTTCTAGTCTGTTTCAAGAGAGCGAATTCTTGAAAAGTGGCTTAGACGAGTAAAATATTGTGATAAGTCGACAAATAGCAGAACAACTCAATACTTTTTAAAAATTGTTGTTCAATAAATTATTTTAATTTTGTATTTATTTACATTATATGCTACGATGCAGGGATTGCTAACACACGAAAAACAAAGGAACATGTCTGACTCACCCAGTTTCTCGATCGGCAAAATTACAATGACAGAAGTGAAAATTAAAAAACGCTAGTTACATTTGTGTTTACAGAGCTTTTTTTCCTTTTAACTAATATCAGCAAGAAAAAAATATTTTAATATTTGTATATATTACGCATGAGTGAATAATAAATTCAAATCTTTCCAGAAATCAAATATATTAATTGTTTTATAACTTCTGCAAATGTGTTTCTTTTTCCTTCACAACAAAATAATTTTGAATTTGTTTAAAGTTCTGAAGGTTGAAAATGATGATATTAGAAATAATACACAGTATTTAACATTATATTGTTTGTATAAAAAATAAAATTTAATTTTATAATAAATTTAAATTTAAAAACTGTGTGTTTTTTTTAAGCTTCCTGGGAAAAAGTAAACATAAACAAGTTGCATTGATTAGAAACAGTTTGTAAACATTTGGTAATGTTATCTGCATTAACTCCAATAAAATAGTAAGTATTTTTATATTAAATAGAACAAAAACATTAAAATTAATGCTTTTATTTTTGCTAAACTAAATGTATGTATTTTGTGTGTGTGTGTGTAAAACTTATTAAGTTTTAGTTTTGAATGTTTGCGATTCAAAATCAGAAAAAATGAAAGGGCTTGTATTTAATTTATTACTAGTTAGTTTATTTTTGTTTAAAACAATACAAAACAGAATATTGTGTAATATTTCTGATGAAAATTTTTATTTAATATAAACCGGATTGTTTAAATGTTTGGTCATATTTCGGTGTTAAATGATCCTATGACAGTTAGTATTACATTCTTTAACTAAGTATCCTTACAGAAGCAAGTCTTTTCTAAATTAGAAAAAAAAGCTTCATATATAGTTTAGTATTTAATGATTTCATTATGTGAAATAATGTTTGCTATGAATCTTTTTTTTTTAATAAGTGAAGTGAACAAGAAATAAATGTATATAAAAATGTGAAATTATATTAAGCAAGCATATTAAATTTATATATTAATGTATTTATTTATTTACTTTTTATGAATTCTGTTTTGAGAAGTGTTAAGAATTTGTACTTTTAGAAAAGAGAGAATTTGTTTTTAAAAAAAAGGAAATTTTTGTGAATTACAAATGCTAATTAAAATAAGCATTAAATCTAATCTTTAAGAATAAGCTAAAAATTTTAAAAACTTGAATAATTAATGAATATATTATGAACTTTTTTAAATGAAATAACTTTTTTTTTTTTACCAATTGGAATACTCCTTAGCATGTGACGATTGTAAGCAATAAATATATTTTAGTTAACTGGATGGTGATGACACCATATATCCTACACAAATGTCTAGAAACAGAGCTTTGTAACAGTACATCACATTACAGAAGGCTACTACATTAAACACTATACATAATTCAGAAATTCTCATGGATACACGCAAAACTATTAATGGTAATTTAATTAATGATTGGTAATTAATGATTAAATATTAATTACTGGTGCCTAGCAGGATCAAGACTATGGCTTGTTCCGTAGTTATGCCTTGATCCTGCTAGGCACCAGTATATTACTGTATACCATATAGACTGCGACAAATCGACTACCGTCGGAGGCCCTAGGCCAGGTTTAGCCAGGCTCTCCGATCCCACTCTGTCGATTAGAATAAAATAACATTAAGTTATGTTAAATAACTCTTATCACTGTACTATGTGATAAGTGAAGCGCGTGGGGGACTATAGTCTCCCTGTTTCAAAATTCAATTTTTCAAAACTCATAGTTTTTTTCGCGATTTTTTCATATTGGATGTTTGTGGGCATGTGTTTTTGATGTATTAATCAAGAAAACTACTTTAAATATATCGTTTTTATTTATTACTAATGAAAAACAGAGTCCCGTTTTTAGGAATTTTTAAAAAAAAAATTGTCAACTTCAAAAGTGTATTTTACAAACTGTAAAGAAGTCTGATGCACCTAAGCTCTCAATCGTCTTCCTGTATGTGTTTTTTAACTGCCACAACAATTAAATTCTTTGTACCAAACCCCGGGCCAAAAATATCTCAGTATTTCCAAAAATACACATCTAAAATCATATAGCAACTAGAGGTAAAAATGGAGATTATTGGCAGATAACATCGATAGTAAACTTCTTATACACTGTAATTGGTTAATTTATATGTCTGTTATTAGATCCACCTATAAAAACAATTGCTGGAAAAATTCCTGCAAAATGCCACGCCCCGCAGGCTACCACATCGAAGTATGTAAACAATCGCTATAAAATCGCGTGTTTTATTCGTTTTTTTCACTTCTAATTTGCTAATGATAAGTCGCTTGACAGTTTTTAGACCAGTGTTTCTCAACCTCTAACGAATCGTCGCCCCCTTCAATAAAACCGTTACGTAGTATCGCCCCCTTCACTACAAAATTCCGATGCCGAGGGACAAGGCTAACTTTAAATTCGTACTGCATTGAATAGACTAGGGACTAGTATAATGTTATTTGTTTAATTATTGTACGATATAACGAATAAAATATCTAATTATTCTTAATATAATGTTTTACTATATAACCTAGAAAATTGTTTTTCGCCCCCCAAAATATAAATTGTTGCTAATCGCCCCCTGAACATGGAAAAACGCCCACATGGGGGCGATATCGCCCGTTGAGAAACACTGTTTTAGACGAATAAACATGTTTTGAATACCATTTAGCAATAAATATTCCCAAAAAACTCCACCTTTCAAACTTTCAATGCTAAGTCTATGGGAAACTTTTTTGCCGTTTATTGGCTTTAAAAATCCTGTTTTTACGCCTTTTATGCTCTAATTGGTCATTTCTATCATGACTGACTCGATATCAACCAATAAGCGTTTTCTCAGAACTGTAAGTCAGATCGGCCCACCTCGGTTAGTTGCGCTAATAAAACTTACTCCGTTAGTCGCGTGGGGAACTAATGTACCCACTGATTTTTATTGTGGCTCTATGTAAAAATTTTTTTTGTGCAAATTTGAAATTTTTTTGGTGCAATCTTCACACCATCGAAGGAAGGTACTGAGGGCATAATTTTTCAACGTTAAAAACATTAAAAAATACATGCGTTTTAACATGCCAGGGAGACTATAGTCCCCGCGCGCCTAACCGTGAGGTTAATTAATACTATATAATATCAAAAAAATTATGCGAATCTGTTACAGCTTTTTTTAATTTCAACTGTGTAAATAGTCATCTTGGTTTTCCAAAGATCAAACTAATACGAAATAAAATTTCAGAACTCATGCAATGACAAATTATATTCATTCATTCATTCATGGGTGTTCTGTCCTAGGACAGGTCCGTGGAAAGCAGTCAAATTATAGAATTCTCCTTCTCCAACATTCTCTATTTCAGGCTTCCTCTTTTATTTCTTTATAAGTTTTGCCTAGTAAAACATCATCTATCAATACTTTTCTTTTTCTTCCTCTTTGTTTCCTTGCATCAATTTTTCCTTCTAATGCCACTCGCATTAATCCTTCTCCTCGCAATATATGACCTAGCCAGTTATTTTTTCTTCTTTGTATTGTTTTTAAAAGAGATCTCTGTTCCTGGACCAAATTTAAAACATCTTCATTCTTAACCTTTTCTGTCCACTTGATTTTCTCCATTCTTCGCCATAACCACATTTCATATGCTTCAAGGTAGTTTGTTTCCTTTTTCCTTAAGGTCCAAGTCTCTGCTCCATATAAAGTTGTGCTCCAGGAAAAGCATTTTATTAACTTCTTTTTAAGTGTTTGGTTCATTTTTCCAATAAGAAGGTTCTTCTTCTTATAAAAAGCCATTTTTCCAGCCCTGATTCGTTCTTTGATTTCTTTTTCACATCTGCCATCTCCCTGAATAATGCTGCCAAGATACCTAAAATGTTGAACTTGCTCTATTTTGTTTCCATCAATTAGGATTTTCAAATCTTTGCTAATTAGCCTTCCAACTTTCATCACTTTTGTTTTAGCTATGTTAATTTTCATTCCAAATTTTTTGCAAGTTTTGTTGAGTTTTGTTACCAAACATTGTAGAGTTTGTTCATTTGGTGCAAGTAAAGCAATATCATCTGCAAACCTAATACTTTGTATTAATTGGCCTCCAATTTTAATTCCGAGGCTGTCCTCACTTATGGCTTCATTCATTAATTCCTCAAGATAAATGTTAAAAAGAGTAGGTGAAAGTGTACACCCTTGCCTGACTCCTTTTCCAATACTGCATGGTTTGCTTTCTCCAGTTTTTGTTCGGATAATGGCAGATTGATTCATATAAAGTGAAGCAATGAGTCTTCTATCTCTCCAATCTGTTCCTATTTTTCTTAAGATTTCCATTAGCTTTGTCCAGTTAACCATATCAAAAGCCTTTTCCATGTCAATAAAGCAAATGTACGTAT